TTTTATATTATTTTACATGTTTTTACCTGCAGTCGTGTATGTGACTTTATCTTGGTAACTGAGATGTCATGCTAAGGACCAATAAACTCTCACTGGCCAAGAGAAAAAAGAGAGAGAGAGAGAGAGAGAGAGAGATTCTGGCCTAATAGAGTCAGATTCCAGGGTCTCCCAGCCCAGCCCAGCCCAGGGGCCTTTCACCTGCCTGGAAACTTCAGCTCCTTTTCAGAGGTAGGTCTCCCTGTGCATTCTGTTGGCATGAAAACAATTTAATAATTTAAATCATACCCATTAAAAAAAACAGAAATGCTGTATAAATATAATACTGTAGTAATAAATGTAAAAGTCGATCCAGCTGGGCACTGTTCCCAGACTACCAGCTGAGCAGAAACACAAGTAAAGTAGAAGAAAAACTGCTATATAATGCAAATGGCTGCAATCTCATTGTTTCCGGCTACACTTTATTGCAAATATATAGCATCGAAGGTTACATTACGGATAAATAGGTTTTGTGGGCTAACCTGGAGACCTAATCACTGTTTATAACATTATTTCTACGGGGAGGGGAAATGTGCATTCCACATGACAAACAGATGGGTAGCGAGCCGATTTGGGGGGCACGGTAGATTTGTAAAATGGGGGCCTCCTGGGATTTTAACCTGTAGATGGATGTTTTGTATTCAGGGCTAGTGACAGATGGAAATCAGAGGAGTCGCAGAATCCCCACTTCCCCACCCAGTCCTTGATGTCCTCTCAACCTAGAGACTCTGTCTGACCTTCTTTAATCTCTGATCCTGGGGGGCTCGTCCTGGCACAGCCCCAGCCCCCAACCACTGTTGAGGCCCCAGGAAGCCAGGGGGATCTCTGAATATCTTTACCCTTTCTCACCTTACTAAGTGGTTGTCAGGATTCCTAGGAGGCCGTGCAACAGAGTGGCCAAGTGGGTGGCTCTGGAGGCAGACTCGTGTCGCTTGTGGCTGTATGATGTTGGCATGTTTTTGCACTTCTCTGAGCCTCTGTGTCACCCCTGTAGAATGAGGTGGCTGTGAGGACGAAGGGGGAGTACTACTTGTAAGCACTCGGTCCAGCGCCTGGTCAGGGCAGTGCTCCCTCCTTGCAGGTGCCTGGGGTAGTTATTCTGGGATATTTGGGTTTAGAAAGATTTCCAGGAGTTCAGGAAGCAAACCCATACTATGAAAATACTTTCTGAATTCCAAACAGCAAACTTAGAAACAAGTATCTGGAACCTTTCTGTTCAAGATTTGAAGCCTAGGCTCAGTCAGTTAAGCATCAGACTCTTGATTTCGGCTCAAGTTATGATCTCATAGTTCGAGCCCCATGCTGGCCTTGTCTTGCACCATTAGCCTGGTATCTGAGTTCCCTTGCTTTGTCTCTCCGTCCTTCCCACGACTTCTGCTCTTTCTCCTCAAATAAATAAAAAAAAAAAAAGAGTGGAGGCCTGGATAGGTTTTGAGCATACTTTATAATGAGTTGGGGGTGGGGGAGGGGTGGCCCATGTACTTATAGAGTTGAGTGAGCCTTATCAAACTCTTATTATTTTGAATAGGTTAAGCTTTATAGCAGATTTCATAGCGAACTAATAAGAACGAGCCTTTTTATTCTTTTTCACTAAAGGATTTCCACATACGGTGTTTTTCACCTAAGGAAAAAAATTTTTTTAATTAACTTTCTGGTTTGGGTTTTGCTTTGTTTTGTTTCTACAGACAGTCTTTTCTTTGCATTTGAGCAGCTTCTATTCCCTGACTGGCAAATAGGCTAGTGTCTGCATAGTGGCCTTATCGTGTGGGCATGAGATGTAGCTAGAAATAAGGACGAGAAAAAGAAAATAGTGATTGGGAATCTTAGGACTTTTGGGTGGACCCTCCCCCGTAGAGGGTGGGGCAGCAGCAATAACACAGAGTAAGGGAAGCGAATACATCGCTTGCCAGTTTCTCCGGAATGTGCTCATTATAATCCGAATCCAATTTTCCTCTGATCTGTGGCCTGAAGAAATTGAAATGAAGCCACTTATGAGATCAGCCTACCTGAGAGCACCTCGTGAGGGTCAGCCTCACCAAGAGCGGTGCCCCACCACGAGATTTTAAATTTCATCTGGGCAAAGGCTTACGTGTCTACACGCCTGACCGTCGCTTTGGTGATACACAGGAGTAAGAATGACAGCTTTCAAAAGGGATAATTTCAAAACACCTGGTTTTGTTTTACTAAAACATGGGGGCCCCAAGATCTGCTCCCCCTCCTTAAGAAATTCGAATGCGTGGGTAATGTGCTGTCATGAAGATTTTATCATCTGCAATATTGGAGAAGTAATAAGATACTGTTGTTGGTTGACCATCTGGTTGTGCGTTCTCAGTGTCACGGTTTGCTGTTTTTTTATTTTATATATTTATTTATTTTTACTGTTAAGCAAGAAACGGGAGCTTCGAAATTTCAGAGGTGTCTTAAAAATAAGAAATTTATGTTGAGTTGCTTAACATGGTTGGATTTTGTTCCTACCTTACACAAAATAGGAAGGAAGAGGTTCATTATATATTTTTTCCTTTTTTTTTCTTTTTTTTTCCAAAAGATAAACTGATCAACTTCCAAAAGATAAAACCTCAGCTCTTAATTTTCTCCCTCTCTGGCCCCGGACTTGAACATTAAAAATAGTCTGTTTATGGTAAGTAGGAGTCAGACCTAAATTGTAAGAGAACTTGAGAAAGAAAAATCACCAGAAAGAACCTATAGAGATTTCATATTTCATCCACCCATTCAAAAATATTTATTGAAGCCCAGTATTTGCATATCATGCTGACAGACACTGAGGGATTTGCTGAAGAAACATTAAAAACGTTCTCCCTTCCTTTGAGGAGCTTAGAGCTGACATGGGGAGAAATGACACCGGCATATGAAACAGTTAAGTTGTAATTCAACACAACATATGATTAAATACCAAAATGTGTGGCTCCGACAAGAAACGCTATAGGAGTTCAGCAAAGGGAGTGATAACTCAGTGGCACCACTGTGTTGTGCCTACAAATTGGCAAATCGCAGCACTATTTGTATGAAATATTTTACACTTGTTTTTTTGGCAGCCTTGGGCCTTGACTTCCAGGCAGCATTAAGAGCCTACGACAATATTTGTACTCTGGTCTCTCTAGAACTGGCTTTTTGTTTTTGGTTTTGTTGTTCTTAGAGACAGAGGAAGCGCCTAATGCAAACTGGAGTGCCCCTGAGAGGCAGGTAGCTTTTGGCAGTCCTAATCTCTCTCAAATACAAAATAGAGAAACCAGCCTCATCATTCTGTTTTTCAGTCCAGCCATACTTGTCCCTCTGTGGCAAACGCCCCGTGACACCGACAGGCCGTTGAATTTGAACTTAATGTCCGTGACGGACGAGCTAGCCATCAAGGGTCGGATAAATTTATAGCTGAGGAGAACCGCTGTTGAAAATCCCCACGGTCAGGGTGTTGGGGAAGGAACTGCCACGGATGTAGGGGAGTTTGGACACCAATGGGCTCTTAGCAAACAGGGTTCCCCAATACTTGCTCAAAGCATTGTGCTTGAGGATGATGTTTAATGAAACTCGCTGGCTTCCTGTTCTATTTTTGTCATATTCAAATTAGCGCAGAGCTCAAAGACGAAACCGTGGGGCCTAAATTCTTACGAATTAAAAAAGGAGAGAAGAGGAAGAAGGAGAATTGAAATGCTTGTGAAGTCACATACCTTTTGGGGGACCACACCCCACTGCACTCCGGTCCTTTCAGGGACTCCCCACAGATGAATGTGGTTATCATTTGGTTGCTTTTCAATCTCATGATTCATGAATTTTCCATTTCTTTTCAAACTTACTGACACTGGTTCTCCCCTGCCCCTTCATTTTAACCTGAGGCCTTGGGGAGGCTTAGATAACAGAGATGTCTTAGTCTCGCCTGGATGGTATTCAGTGGAATGTTTGTGGAATTCAGCACCTTTGAGACTAACATGACACTTGGTGTTCATTCTTTTCGTCTGGTCGGCGGCCCTTCTGGTGAGATAGGAGTTCCCAAGTTAGCATGACCTAGAGTGACTGAGACATCGAGCAAAGGACCGGTCTCACCCCTCAGCTCTTGGTCATGTATATCAAAGGAGTTGTCCCTGGCTACAGCTTAAGATTTATCTGGGGCTTCCTGTGAGCTGACAGACTTGAGACAGTGGCCCTGGAAAGTGTTGCACCCATATCTTTTGATATAATTGGGTTTCTGTCTAAATAAATGTCATGTAGCAGATGGTTATGGAATGGCTTATCACATTCTTGGGAGGACTCTGCCCTTGAAATATTTATATTTAATTATCATACAACGAAGCACAAGCTAGCTTTATTATTTTTGTAATAAAAATTTGCACGGTAGGTTGATATTCTGGGAACAAATCACAAACCTAAAATTTATATGATCTGTAAACCCCTTCTTGGGCTGTGCTTTGCAAGGTTTTTCTGGAAGGGAGCTCTTTAATTTTAGAATCCACAAGAGGATATGCTTCGGATGTATTTGGCGATGTCATCGTGAGAGGTGCCTCGGGAATCTAAGTTCAACGTGTTGTCTACATTTCAATGTGTTGTTGCCTGCTCGTAGACATGATGGAAAAACGCTCTGTTGTTGGCCTGTTGCTTTTCATGGTTTTAGCATCATGTTCCTATTCTCACTCGAAATCGATAGTCCTCTCCACAAAGCCTGGCGTTCTGCACTGAAACCAAGTATGAGAAACTTTGAACTAATGCATGCGTGGGGTTGCTGTTTTGTTGCCTTTTGCTTTTTCTGATAGGTGTACCTTCAAAGAAGATTGTGTACCTTTAGACAACTATGAAAACTGGCTGGATATTTCATCCGGAGCTAAAAAGTGCCCTCAAATTAACCTATTTCGAAGCAGTGAAGATAAGGTAAGAGGAAAGACTTTCATTTGTCTCTGTTGTCTCACTTTGTACAACTAATGCTCGCTTCCTGCTGTGTGCGAAATACCTCCTAGTGTTAAGTAAGCCGAAGTAAGGAAGCCCATTCGTTTCGTTAACTAATACCGAGGGCCCAGCAGATACCATACACCCTGCAAGGTGCTAGGGAAATAGCGGAGGACAAGACATAGCGTAAGCCTGCCCTCATGGAGTTTGTCATCTTGCAGAGCTGAAGATGACCCTCATTAGCTGAATCTCAAGAAAAGATGGACTATCATTGTAGTAGAAAAATACACTGATTAAAAAAAAAAGAAAAAGAAAAAAGTTCCAATTCACGGTCAACAAGATTCCTTAAATGTGACTTAAGTGTAGAATTTTGTTTTATGGCCCTTTTCCTAATTTGCTCAGGCTTCTCCTGATCACTAGCTTATGTGCATGGCTATATGAGCGGTATTGGTCGAGAGGGCGAGAAACCAATATGGGCAGGGAAAATTGCAAGTGGGGTCCCCTGGAAAGCCAGTGGGCTCTTGTTATGGCCATACTGCCATGGGCAGCTCTTCAGCCCTGTCACCGGATGAGAGGAAGGAAGCAATGAGGGGCATATTCAAGCATTTTCTGATTCACAGCCATCCATACCCTATGGGAAAATGGAATTCCTGCCTTGTAATCTCAGTGGTGCTATAAGGAGACATTCTCTCCCTAATTATAGTTCTTGTATTATGAATAATTGTACAGAATCCCCATCAGCAGTCAGTTGACCTGTCTGTTGAGCTCACTCTGTTTTATTTGAATGCCACATTAACAAGGAAATGGGCCACTTTCTCTTTTCCTGTACACTTTGCCATTTCAAATAGCAAGAACCATACCACTTAAGATGATTTAACATTTAATAAAGGAGAGCCAGAGCATTTAATGAGTGATAAATAATAAAAAGAATAAAGCTTTCAAGTCATAACTGATCAGAACGCACAGATTTAAAGGTATTTGGCTGTTGTCACTTTCTGTTGTCTTCCAGCAGGTGGGCGGGGGGCGGTGAAAAAAGAACTTGGAAAGCCTTCATCCAAACCTCCACCAGCCCTGAGTCAGAGTGAAAAAACTGTGTGCAAAAGATGCTTAGGCATCTCAGCATAGGTGTGGTCAAATTTTTATTTCTCTTAGCAGTCTGAAAAATAGCTAACTTGGGTGCTGATAGAGAATGATAAAAAATACTTATGTATGCCATGATCTTTGAATATACCCAGGACTCTGATAAATGGTTAAGATCACCCAAGATTTGGGGCGCCTGGGTGGCTTTTCAGTTAAGTGTCCGACTCTTGATTTTGGCTCAGGTGTGAGATCGAGCCCCATGTTGGGCTCCACACTGATAGCACAGAGCCTGCTTGGGACTCTGTCTTTCCCTCTCTCTCTCTCTCTCTCTACCCCTACCCCGTTCACACAAGCACACTCTCTGTCTCTCTCAAAATAAATACACATTTAAAAAAAAAAAAAAGATTACCCAAGATTTTTTTTTTATCATTTTGAAAATTTTAAGGGTGATACTTCAGCTAAATGTAGTAAGGCAAAGCAACTCGTTCATTAAATAAAAAATGCTGCTTGCATAATTTGCTTACCTATCTTTGGGTTCCCTGGTATAACTTAATCGCCATTTCTACCTAGTTTGGAACATCACAAAAAATGTTTACCACCCAAACAACCACTAGTGCTTTCTTCTCTACCCTGAGTCCCACCGTGGTTTACCCAAATCCCTGTAGAGCCTTCCCACACAACCATTACCTCGCTCTCCAACTACCATCACTCTCAAGGTAAAGGAGATAAGAATTTAGTAATCTGAGTAAAGTTCGTCTTTGAAACCAACTCTGGGGGCGCCTGGGTGGCGCAGTCGGTTAAGCGTCCGACTTCAGCCAGGTCACGATCTCGCGGTCCGGGAGTTCGAGCCCCACGTCAGGCTCTGGGCTGATGGCTCGGAGCCTGGAGCCTGTTTCCGATTCTGTGTCTCCCTCTCTCTCTGCCCCTCCCCTGTTCATGCTCTGTCTCTCTCTGTCCCAAAAATAAATAAATGTTGAAAAAAAAAAAAATTAAAAAAAAAAAAAAAAAAGAAACCAACTCTGGACTGATTATTTTAATAACGTTGATAAGATGTGTGATGCCATCTCTTAGTCATATTATTTCAAAATATGTCCTATCGTTACAGTCATCTGTGACTTACATGAAAGTCCCAGACCTTTGTTAATTTAAATAATACCCCGATCCTTATCTACAGAGACGTCAGTCCATAGCTCAAGTCAAAGAGTGTTTGCTAGCTGCCCATCATAGGCCTTTGTAACATTCTACTAACGTTCTGAGTACAGAAAGACCCCGATATAATGCAGAGCCCCTGCTTCCAAGAAGCATCATCTCTTTACACAAAACAATTAGAAGACTGTATATCCTCATCCTCATTACAGAATCGGCATTAACAAGAAATAATTGGAGCAATTCCAGTTGGCTTGGAGGGATTTCGTGAGGTTTTGTTGAGCAAAAACAGCAAGATGCAGAAAAGTATGTGTAGCATGATCTTGTATTGATCACAAACTCAATATATGCTATTGATGTATATAGCATATATGATATGCTATTGATATAGCATAATCTATATATGTTTATGTCTCTATGTGATTATTTGAGCATGGAGAAAAATACAAAAGAATTCTTACTAGGTCGTGAACATGGGCTCTCCTGATGGCATGACAGATGATGTGGTGGAGAGGGAAGGCCAAGACAAGTAGGGGGGGAAAAATGAAATTCTCACATACACAAACACAAACAAGCACGTATGACATCCCATTTTTGCATTATGTAAAACTATTTGTATACCTATAAAGAGATTTTAACATTCAGTAAAAACAACTTGTACTAATAAAAACAGAAAATATATAGACATGCAAGCATTTCCCACCAGCAGCAGGATTCCTAAAGGAGAGACACTGGAAACATTCTTTTACAAAGCAGAACGAAAACAAGGAGTTCCACTGTCACTGGTAAAACCAGCATCATGTGCAAAGTTGCGTCTAGTGCAGCAATACAAGAAACAAGTAATAGAAATAACTATGGGACCGGAGCAGATAAAAAATATCACCATGTGCTCATCTTCCCTGGTTGTGTAGCTTTGAAACCTAAACAGAGTAGCTTTTAAAATGATTCAAATGAAAGTAAAATAATAGTGCCAAATGTTCGATAAACATTCAACTATCGATAACTTTACTACACATGAGGTAAAAGAGTTAGTGTCCATTAATAAAAGAGCTCATTCATTAAAAACAACCGAAATACCCAGCCATCAACTGAAAGAGTGAGGTATATACCCTGTATTTTAAAATCACTTTTACTAGGAGATACATGTTAAAGACAACTACCAAAAAATAGCAATTTGGGCTATGCAACAGCTTCCCTCACTTTCTTTTTTTTTTAATGTTTTTTTTTTTTATTCAGTTTGAGAGAGAGAGTGTGTGTATGCTCATGAGTGGAGGAGAGAGAGAGGGAAAGAGAGAGGATCCCAAGCAGGCTGCACGCTGTCAGCACAGAGCCTGATGTGGGGCTCAGTCCCACTAACCAGGAGATCATGAGCTGAAATCAAGAGTCAGGCACTTAACCAACTGAGCCACCCAGGTGCCCCCTAAGCAATTCTTTCTAATAATAATTAGATAGTGGGACAGTGGTCTATCAAGGCTATTGATAACTCATGATTAACTTCATCAATTAAAAACATAAGCATAAATAAAAACACAAAGCATTCTCTTGGAAGATACGACAAGCATCCTGAATATATCCAGACACATACTATGTTGCTGGGCAGGAAGTTATCATAAACGTCATTTCTTCCTCAACCTAGTTTCTAGATTTCATGTAATCCCAGTGAAGATTTGAATAGACTTTTTCTTAAAAGTAATATAAAAGTCAACTGAAATAATATGAACTGGTCAAGAATATCCAAAATGTATTTTGAAAACACAGAAATTTATTTAAGCTAGACCATTTCCATATGATTATAAACATATATATAGCAATAATAACTCAACCCATGATTCTGTTTAAAAGTAGGAATACAGGGGCACCTGGGTGGCTCAGTTGGTTGAGTGTCCGACTCTTGATTTCAGCTTAGGTCATGATCCCAGGGTCACGGGATCAAGACCCATGTTGGGCTCTGCGCTGAGCGTGGATCCTGATTGAGATTCTCCCTCCCTCCCTCTCTCTTTCTCTCTCTCTCTCCACCCCCCCTCCGCCCCTTCCCCCTGCTCTTGTGTGCTCTCTCTAATTAAAAAAAAAAAAATCTTTAAAAAAAAAAAGGACTGGAGATCCTAGGAATAGACAAGAAAGCTCAGAAATAAATGTAAAAATTGTAAAGATCAGGTATCATAAAATAAGAGGAAATAAAAGAACTTTTCCCAAAAGATACTAAAATAATAGACTTCAAATATGGAAACATAATTCACATTTTACATTAAATACAAAAGTAAATTTTAAACTAAGAAATCCACATAAAAAGCCAAAACAAAAAAACCCAGAAAGTAGAATGGAGTACCCGATAATTGGAAATAAAATTTTCTTAGCTCTGAAGCAATGTAGTATGTAATAACAAAAGAAAAATATTCATATACTTGACGTTTAAAAAAAATCCATACAATAAAAAAGATAACTAACGCACACACTTCAGGAAAACATTTGCAATAGGCAAACTATTAATTGTAAGATATTAAAGCTAGGAGAAGTTAAAAAAAAGAACAAACTCCAAGACACCAAAAAAGTGGGCAGAAAGAAGCATATATTCTCACAAGAGGAGGTTTAGGGAGTTAGGCATAGTTAAGGAAATATGTTCAACTTCACTAGTTATCAAATAAATACAAATTAAAATGATAAGATATGCTAACACCTAGTGTTGGCCATGCCAATTAGCACAGCCTTTTTGGAGAGCAATTTGCTGTGATGTTTCCAAAGGCATAAGTATATTCATTCTGCTTGAAGCACTAATTCCAGTCTTCAAATTCTGAAGAAGTAACTTGAAAGAAGGAAAACCAAAAGAATGCAGAGGCCATCGCGGTAGCTTTTGTAGACTGAGAACCCTGGAAAGAACCGATCTCTTTGGCAGTAAGGGGAGTGGTTAAATAAAATAAGGTCTGTTAACCTGCTAGAATGCAGTGAGATCTCTGGCCCCATGGACGTTACTAGCTAATTGACATTCAAACTCTCTGTCTCATCTGACTCTTTGTGTCTTCCTTCCCTCTTTATCCAGCTTTTCTGGAGAAGGAGCTGTCCGCCTAATAAGGATTCCCAAGTTGGCTTTATTAAGCCAAGGCATCAGCTATTTCTCTGTACTTGCCTGGAACCCGCACTCACACAAAAATACCTTCACCTCCCTGACTATCCTCTTCTTTCACTACATTTGAAAAAACTTGCTGTTTTCAAGATCAACTCCAACCTGGCTTCTGTCCCAATATTCCCCTGAGACTGTTCCTGCTGGGGTCACCAGTGAACTGCTTGTAGCCATTCGGTAGATGCTGTAAGTCCTCATCTTACTTGGCCTGTTGGCTGCGTTCTTGAAATGCCCACTTCCATTGCCCTCCCCCCCACACACACACACAGCATACCCTATCCATGCTCTCTTCCTTCTCTCTGGCCATGCCTCAGCCTCCCTTGCTGGCTTCTTCTCTCCCTAACTCTAAATACTGGAGTTCAGACCCCATTTGGGTTGTTCCTGTCTTTAGCTCTATACTTTGTAGATAATTTTATCCATTCCCATGGCTTTATATATCATCTCTATGTTCTTGCCTCCTTTATCTTTAGCCCAGATTGCTCCTCTGAGCTTCAGGCCCATATCTAACTTGACACACCTCTTCATCATTATACAAGTGTCTTGAACTAAACACATCCAAAATTGAAAGCTTACACTTTCCATCCAAAGTCTGCCCCTGCCTCTGTGTGTTCCATTTCAGTACAGGGTACTTCCCTCCATTTTTCTAACCAAAATCCTCCCTATCCATATGCTCTAATTCCAGTCCCGCCCCACGCGACTTCTAAAGGATATCTTGAATCGGTCATTGGTTTCCGTCTCCACTGTACCATCTTGGTCCGGGCTTCTATCGTCTGTTGATGATCTCTTCATACCCTGTGGCCCTCTGGTTTCTGAAATGTCACATTTCTGCTAGACTATAAGCTCTTTGAGGGCAGAGTAACTGTAGCTGTTTGGCTCACTAAAGTATTCAACACCACATGCAACATTCAGCACATGTTAAGAGCTTGATAAATATGGAATAAATAAAGGCGATGGTTACTGTTACCTAAAAACTATGTGAGAACTGGAAGGAAATGTGAAATTTTAAATCTGGTGAGAAACTGATTTCAAAAAAAAATTCTGATTCTGTTGTAGTGTTTGAGCAATTAAATGAATTTAAGGCCTATATGTATACAGGATAGTAGGTGATGTGACCGTATGCTAAGATGTGTGAGCGGATATAAATGCTGGGCTGAAGGGGCGCCTGGGTGGCGCAGTCGGTTAAGCGTCCGACTTCAGCCAGGTCACGATCTCGCGGTCGGTGAGTTCGAGCCCCGCGTCAGGCTCTGGGCTGATGGCTCAGAGCCTGGAGCCTGTTTCCGATTCTGTGTCTCCCTCTCTCTCTGCCCCTCCCCCGTTCATGCTCTGTCTCTCTCTGTCCCAAAAATAAATAAACGTTGAAAAAAAATAAAAAATAAAAAAAATAAATGCTGGGCTGAAGAAGGCACCATGAATAAGAGCTCAGCCATTTGCTACAGGTGAGCTAGTGGGAGTGGATTGGGGCTTGTCCCCGTGCTCAGGTCTGCTAGAGGTAGTTAGACTTCAGTTGAAGCTGAACTTGCCTTCTCCAGCAAGACTGTATGGCTGAGAAACAGAATGTTTTGAAAATAGCAAGATGGCAGTGACCCCAGGACTAAAACAGACATAGCAAGCTTATTTGAAGACAAGACAGCAGAGTTTGAGCTGACCGTACGGAAAGTCTGGGTGAAGGTCAGAAGTATAACAGAAGATGGACATCTCCCAGGCTGTCCGGAAGTATAGCTCTTCATGGTAGGCAGTAGGGTTTCCAATTCCTCTGCTCCCATCTTCCTAATGTTTAGCTAGCTCACCTTTCCACCAGATCCCTTTCCTGCACCTGACGCAAAAGGGGTCCACCATTGGCCTATTAATTCCTTTAAATTCCTTTTTTTCCTGACCTTCATTTTCTTTTTTTTTTTTTAACTGAAATATAATCGCATGCGACATCGTGTAAGTTTAAGATGTACAACGGGTTGGTTTGATACATTGATGTATTGCCATATAATTACCACCATAACATTAACACCTCTATCACATCGTGTAATTAGTATTTTCTTTCTTGTGGTGGGATGATTTTCCTGTTTCAACATGAGAACTGGCTGCCTTGTTTCTTTAGATAATTCATTTGGGAAAAAGTTGCTTTAGGGGAAATTTCAAGATTTTCTTTTTGTGTCCATTTGTGTGCACACACACACAGCCTCCTGCCCCAAAACTTTAATCATAAGTTTGATCACAAATAAAACCTTAGTGTTAAAAGTAGATTTCGGGGGCAGCTGGGTGGCTCAGTCGGTTGAGCGTCCGACTTCAGCCCAGGTCATGATCTCGCGTTCCGTGAGTTCGAGCCCCGCGTCGGGCTCTGTGCTGACAGCTTGGAGCCCGGAGCCTGTTTCAGATTCTGTGTCTCCCTCTCTCTCTGACCCTCCCCTGTTCATGCTCTGTCTCTCTCTGTCTCAAAAATAAATAAACATTAAAAAAATTTTTTAAAAATAAAAATAAAATAAAAGTAGATTTCGTAGATCACCTTCTTTAACTATAGTAACATTACCAGGAAGAAATAAAGAAATGAAAAATGTAACTTAGTCCCTGGGAAATCAAGGTATTCTCTTAAATAAACCCTGGACCAAACAGAAGCAAATTAAAAAAAACAAAAAAATCATGTGTTTGGATGGGACTACTTAATACCACAAATACATAAGACCTCCCGAAATTGATGCATATGGTTAGTACAATTCCAGTTAAACTCATAAGCTCCTCACCCCATTTGAATAAAATAATCTTAAAGTTTCTGCGGAAGAATAATGTCTAGGAGATGCTAAGGAAATTGGGAAATTAAAGCTAAATAAGTAAAGGTTTGCCTTGTCTGATGTTAAATATATTTAAAGTCACAGTAGTAAAAGCTTGACATTGTAATAGAAGTAAATCAATAGATAGTTGAAACAGAGCAGAATTCAGAAATAGATTCCAGATATAGGGTAATTTAATATATGACAAAAGTGGTATTTCAGTTCAGTGGGAAAAGGAGGGTATTTTTTAAAGTAAATGGTTATGACATAGCTGATTAACCATCTGGATGAAAATAAAGTTTGGACCCTTACCTCATACTATATACAAAAATAAATTCCAGATAGATTACATATATAAGTTTAACAAACAAAACAAAGATGGCGAAACAATTTCATATTTGTCTACAAGCTAAAATTTGAGAATAACTTTATAACCAAGACAAAAACCCTGCTTTGATTACATAAAAACATGTCATGCGGGGTAAAAGATACCACACATACAAGTTGCAAGACAAACAGTAGATTAGGAGAAAACATGTGTCAGAAATAAGACAGATAAGGATTAATATTTTATACAGAGAGCTCTTAAAAATGATAAGAAAAATATACACAGAGCCAAAAAGTGGTCCAAGCATAGGAATAGGTGATTCACTAAAGGGCAAATCAAATAGTTGATAAAGCGTCTCTTTCTTTACATCCGCTGAGAGATTCTCTTTCTCTGGCATGTCAGAGGGCGAGTTCACTTGAAGCTCTAGGATGGATGGAGAGGGAGCAAGAACAATGACGTGGTTCCTGAATTATCTTCTTCCCCACACAGACTACAGTGACTGTGGTCGGAAGCCTCCCTCCGAGACGGTCGGAGTGGAAGTGCATGGTGAAGAACTTGGACACGGGCAGGGAGCTCTGCAAGGGTAGAAGTCCGCCGGGCAGGGTCTGTACCTGCAACATGCCCACCAGAGCAACCTACAAAGGTAAGTGGACCCTGCTCTTTTTTTGTTTGAAAGTGAGGAAGGCAAGAGAACCTCCTGAGTTCAGATTGCCCAGGAAGCAAGTTGAATGTCAGGGGATTTATATATTCCCATCCTTTAGACTCGCTGTCTGCTTACCTCCTGCTCTCCCCTCGGTTTTGCTCACCTCTGCCCTACCTCATCCCGTGATTCCAGGATCCCACTCTGACGTGTGACTGGAGAATGACAGAGCAGGGTATGCTGGATGGGAGAGTGGAGAAGCTGGAGACCATTGGACTGACCCTACCCAAATGGTTCAGATAATTCAGAGATCTGAGAGGCTGGGAATGCCCTTGGTGAGATGAGAAAAGAGAACAACCAACGTTCTATCATCTTAAGATGATTGCATTCAGGCAGAAAGGAAGTATTTATTGAATATCCACGATGCGCCGGGCACTGTGCTGGGTGCCAGGGATACAGTGACCAAACAAGATAGACGTGGCCCTTACTCACAGTATTTGTAGCCTATTGGAGTAAAGACAGACAAAGGGCTCATTACAGCGTAGTGTGTAAATGCAGGGGACGTACGGAACCATGGGAAGCACAGGAAAAGGGCACCTAACTGAACCTGGAGGGTCGCTGAGGGGACAAGGAACGCTTCCTGGAAGATGAGTAGAGTTGAGCCAAAGGAAAGGGGGAAAAGTATTCCAGGCAGAGACCAACTAGTGATGGTTAGAAAGAGAGAAAAGGCTTTGTTTGAGGAGCCAAAAGAGGCTCTATATGGTTAAGGCAAATGGGGTAGGGAGAGGTAGAGAGCAGAGTGATAGAAAATGGATACCAGGGCGCCTGGATGGCTCAATTGGTTAAGTGTCCAGCTCTTGACTTTGGCTCAGGTTATGATCTTATGGTTTGAGAGATTGAGCCCCGTGTTGGGCTCTGTGCTCAGAGTGCAGAGCCTGCTTGGGATTCTCTGTCCCCCTC